ATGACATAAATTTATTTAATTTTAATAAGCAATAGCATAAAATCGATGTAAAATTTCCCTGGGAACACGATGGTGCAATTATTTTTTTGCTACTTGCCGTAGTTTACGAGATATTTGCGAAAAACCTTATTTTTTACGGTTTTTTGACCTTTTGACCCCTTTCCTGACCACCTAGGTCAAAAATTTTTGCGGATTCGGATTCCTGAGGGTCGAATACGTATTTGCGCCCAGGTTTGATCGACAGAGGAAAAAATGGAGGTTCAGCCTTCATTTCAATGGACTAAACAGCCCGAATTGGTTGTTCACGGGAAATTTGGAGGTCGCAATTTTGATTTGAAAGCAATTGTGCATTATTAATATGTTTTCTAAGAATATGAACTTCATTGCGGGTAAAAATTGTGATAATCGAAGTTTTGACATGTTTGAAAAAATTTATCGATATTCACTAATTTTTTCTTTTATTTTGAATAAAAGACACCCTTCAAATTCTGATATAATCCCAATTGTTGGTCATATTCTTTGCAATTTCATAGAGGAACTCACTTTTCATAATTTTCGGTTCATAACTTTTTCAGCTAGAGTGCCCGTGAATAAAAAAAATGTCGTTTCCAGAAAAACGCGTTTGAATATTTCCGAAAATTAGAAATTTGAGAAAATTATCAATAATATAGGTAGAGTGCTTTCCGATCAATCAGCGATTCCAGTACCATACAACAGTACTTCCTCTTCCTCTGAGCTTGCATCTGTCGTTTTTTTGCTTAATAAACAGAGAGCGGACAATTTGTGACTTTAACCTTGAACATAGATATGTCATTCATAAACCTAGATACATTACCCATGACGCAGTGGCGTGTCGGGTATGCATCGGAAATTTACGTGATAATTCACGAAAATTCCACGGTACATACATTTTTAGGCGTTATAAAATATTTAGAAAATCAGAAATTGTATACTACATATTTATTAAATAAAGTTCGGCTAAAAATAGTGTCGTTCTTTTAATTGGAAATTAGGAGTCAATGCAACGAATAGCCTTAGGCGACGCACATGATAGAATAGTCCAACTCACGCTCCATTCATAACAGGGCTGCAGTTTGAATTCTGACCAATAGGAATTCGATAAACGCAACCGATGTCGACGGATGGACTAGAGATGGGCGCGAGTGTCATTTCATTTCTTTAGAACTAAATTAACTTAATTATTTTCTCGTTATTTAACCTGTTCACATGATTTATGGATTTTAAATAAAGGGTACAAATCTTCGCGAGGATAATACGATATATTTGCTATACATAATAATTATATTTTGCATAGTTTATACACAATACATTTTTGAACGCGTACACATCTCTACCAAAATTTGACCTATTCTTCGGGTTAAAAACACACATTGTCCGCTCTCTATAATAAATGCCAAGACTACCTGAACAAGTGCTTCGCCCTACCTGCTGTGCGCCCAAGTGCTGACCCGATGGGCGTTTGGTTTTAGGCTCATAAAATCGGAATAGGAATATCGGTTCGAAATTTTTGGTGTATTCTTGAATAGTTATACTAACAATTTATGCAATAAAATAAAGGATTAAAACATTTAATAAGCCGGTCGTTAAATTCTCCAACGTACAATTTTTAAAATGATTTCGACAAATATTTGAACATTGGTTAAACGTATACCTACAAAGTCAACAGAAGAAAATCTTGAAGGGCTAAAAATAAATTTCGGTCTTATTGTAACCGGATTAAATTAAAAATAAGTTCCAGCTAGCGTAATATTTCAGTTTATAGCAAATATCCTTCTATTCTTCCAAGCGATGAAAAAGTGTTCTTTTTCAGTTTGAAAGTCTCGCTCGTATAATCCAAAGAACGACGATTATTGATTTGGCCTCATTAATAAAAATGGAATATTTTCTAAGTCATCAGAATCCGAGAAAGCAGCGAGCCGAAACTTCAGGAACTCATTAAAAACTTACCGTTATTTGGAGCATCTGGAATAAGATCAGGGTTGTTGTCGTCGGAAATTGTGTCCGTGTAAAGCGGTGGCACACGGGGCGTTAGAGGGCTCTCCTCCAACTTAGGACTGCGGACTCGAGGGTTCCTCACGGGGCTGTCCACCTGCGACATGCCAATTAAATTTTACTTTACATTTAATTAAACTTGATACACACTGATTATTGTAACAGGCATATGGTAAAATTTATTTAGAAGCAACCTTTTTCACTAGCCACATTTTTTGTTAGTAAGTAATGGGATTGTCACTTGTCATTACAAGAGTATTTATTTCATACTCAATATTTCTCGACTTTATATTAAAGAGACAATACATTTTTAAATATACAATATTTCAATTTGCTGCTATAGAGATGTTGTTGCCAGTTATCAAAATTACATTCACAAAGGAAATTATATTAATATCCCGTACCATGGTACCTTACAATAATTACAAAATAATACTACAGCGTAGGTACAGTGGCGGAACTATCGTACAGCAAAAGGGAGCAGTGCAGAGTAGCCCAGGCTACTAGGGACTCTTCTCCATTCATTCCATGTCACTAAAATTTAATATTTCTAATGGGTTTACAAACACAAATTAAAAATGTTTCAAACTAAAATATGGGACAAACATGAATTAAAGTATATTGACGGTTTAAGAGATAGAGCATATAGATAATTTTCATAATTAAATTATTTTGAAATTATTTACTTAAAACTGTTTTTTACGATTTTTTTGCACAGCAAATTATAATTTCCTATCAATTACGGCGTATTTTATACGGGATGCTCGTTACACTCTAAGACTTAGGTAAATAAGGAAAATCTTATTTTCCTGTAGAATTGTTTTAAAAACTAGTGGTAATTAACTGCATCGCTATCATTACTAACCGGTTCAAGAAATTCTCCTCACGAATCTTCACCAAAGAGTTCGTTTTTGTAAATGGTGGAGCAATCACCTGGATACTCTTTAAAGAACCCTTTTCTGTGACGAAGCTACATTTACAGGAGATGGAATCAACAATTTCCACAACGATCATGTGTGGGTAATCGAAAACCCTCGTGCTATTCGAGACTCGAGACACTCATTTTCAGAAAAGATTTTCCGTAAACGTTTGAGCTGGAATAATTAATAATGAAGTTATCGGACTACATTTTTTGTACGGAAAGAACAGCGAGATGTACCGGGCTTTTTTGGAGAACCTATACTACATTTCTTTTCATATAAAAAGGACGATGTTCTTTTTATCCCATTATCGAAAAGGTGTCACTAATTTTATCAATGAAAAATATCCAAATCGACGGATAGGTCGTGGTGGTCCCATTGCTGGTCTCAATCCGTTGGATTTTACTCTGTAGCAACTACCCATAATACCTGGCAACTTATTTCAACTTTTCCGGATTTTTTTCCTATTTGTTTCACATAAAAACTGGCAATTTACTTTTAATATGAACCAATCTAATTAATTATTACATTATTTTCTAATTAAAATAGAAGGCGTGTATAGAATGATGAAACTTAAGTTAGTCACTTATCTAATCAACGATAAAAGTCTGCTACATTTGTAAATAACCACAACCAGTGACGGAGGTATGAAGATCTTTAAGACGCAAAATTGGAAAAAATCAGTGGCGCAGGAATTTCACATTTTTTTTTTTTGACTATGCACTCTACCTCTAGCAAAATGCAACATTTCTAGGGCAATTCAAGAACATAATTTAAAATTAAATTCCAGCAAATCAAAAATAATTTTTTTGGTAGATACTAAGAAAAATGTTTAAATTTTAAGACAACTATAATGTTATAATTGATGGTATTCCAATTCATATTACTAACTATATAAACAATCTGGGAGTGACTCTTGACATTGCTCAAAAAATCTTTCAAAATTCATCTTGTCGACACGGATTAAGAAAATTTGATGATATCTCTTACTAAATTGTAAAGATCACGTGGCTTAACATGGAGTCATCATCTTGGCATTTAGTCCATAAAATTTGAACTATTCCTTCTTATTATTCATTAATAACTAAATTTGCTAAACGCTCTGTTAATTCGAGGAATATCTAATTTAAAAATGCATGTATAATGCCGCATCATCGAAATGCATTTATTTAAAAGATGTTTTACTTCTATAATTCTATTAAATTATATTCTGTCAGACTATTTTAAAAATTTTAATATTAATAAATTCAAACATTTTAAATCTTATTTATTAAGTGAACAGCACATTTCATGGTTTATTGAGAATATTTATATAAAACTCATGATTATTGTTAGGTATTTGCAGTTAAATTAGTTGTGTTGAGTTTCTTTTTTGAGCGATTTTCTGTTGCTATATCAGTATTTTGAACTGATATGCTATTGCATACTTATGGATGAGTTTGAGTAGTTTTAGCTAGACTTCGTCATGGGTTAGACATTTTTTCCCTTGTGTTTTTCTGTTTTTTTAATATATTTTCCTCTAAATTACTTCTGAATAAAGACCATTTATTATTATTTACTATTTTAAAATCTTCTAAACATGTAATGTAATTCTGTTGATTTTTACTTTCAAATTTCGTTTCACAAATAAACATGTTGACGGGATGCGACAAAGGCTTAGTTCTCGATTGTCAACCCCGTGAAAACAGGAAGTCTTTTAAAATGCATGCATATTTATTTCTAACTCGAATTCAAAAGATTTATTAAATGTTATACAGTCTTTTTGTGAACAACTAAATCTGCAATATAAAACATTTTGGCCACATTTATATCAATTTGTTTCAAGTATTTTTTAAAAGGTAACACATTGATTAGTTTCATTGCTTTACCTGTCACTACTGAAGTGAACGAGGCCTTGGAGCTTTATAATCTAAGATGGAAATAGTTTAACTATATATGTTGTTTGGAGCACTGTGAGAAATGTAAATAATCGCGACATCTCTGTTACATTAAAAACAAAAGTATATCTTGCGCTCCTATTGTATTGTTTTAAAATTTCCTATACCTCCATTTGATTATCATGGCGAATCAAGCAAACTGTAAATTTAAGTTAAAAACAACTTAATTTACAATTTAAATTAATCCGATCGCACTTGCAGAGCTGTTTACTTACCCTAAATCTCCGCACCGCAAATATTATTGCTCCCACAGCTCCTGCTACGATAAGAGTCGATCCTGCAGCCAGCAAAATGTATAACCAGGGCCCCGTTCCGCCCTTTGTTGTGTCCGTGGGCTCCGTCGACCGACGCTGCTCCTTCAAACCTAAATATATCGCATAACCTCTCAGTTAAATACCAGAAGTAAATTATGAAATTGGACCATTTCTTTCTTGTTATTTTTATATTCATTTATCTTTTAAAAATGTGCAGATTAATTATACGAGAGAAAAGCTTAAATCTAACTTCAGTAGAAGATATTATTAGTCTTAGTCAGTACAACACAACTTCACTTTTTTAAATGTACGAGGGTGAAAAGAAAAGTTTTTGATCTATCCTAGAAGGTAAAAAAATATATACAGGGTCGTTGATATGTATGGAAATGGTTGATTATCTTATAAAGTATGATAACTATTGAAAAATCATAATGCCGCGTACAGACCGAAGCTCCAACGCATACCAAGACCAAGGCAATCAAGGCATATGTGGACACATATGAGTAACTAAATAAGAGGGTTTCTTCTTCTTCTTCTCATTCTTCTTCTTCTTCTTCTTCTAGTGGTTGGTCCTAATAAGTCCCATAGCACTGCGGCCTAATTAGGCCTATTGTGCGTCCCACTACTAGTCCTATTCAGCAAGTAGATTTGTCCTTTTTACAAAGTCCAAAAGCTTCCTTGCTGACACTTCTCTCAGTTCCTTGGGTTCCAAATAGGGTCTCCCAAGGAGC